TGCATAGAATCTTAATTCCACTGATAAAACTTGGGCTTTTGGCTTCAACATACTCATCCTCCAAAGGAGGCTGGAGTTTGCAGACTGGGTTTTTAGGCAGCATGCACAATCTCCTCCATGCCTAACTCAGCCCTGTAAATTCCTCCTTGCCGGTAAAAGTAATTTACAATCCTGAGAGGTAAGTGTGACTTCATTGTCAACAAATTGTTTTAGAGGGTCTTTTAATTAATTAGTCATAGTTTGATCCCTGGGGTTCTTGAAAGAGAGACATAACAGTAAATTCCTTTGTAATGCACATATTTTCTTATTTTACGATTAATGAAGAAGAGAAAGAACAAAATGCTGAAGGTAGCCTCTTTTATAAAGTCATGGGATAGCTGTTTGCTGCCCCAGCAGGATTTTAGCCAGAAAATAGGCATCAAAGGAGGGAAAGGATAAAGAAATTAAATTTTGACTGTTAATTTCAGTTCCTCATTGGTATCCAAGGCTTTCATGTAAAATATTTCATTAGTTACTGAGCATTTATATTGGCATATCTGCCTAGTGATACAGCCCAAGCCCTAGATCTGCACTTCGACATGACACAGCGAGGCTGCCCCGCTGTGGGCACATGCCCCACATGGCACAAGCCTTCAGGCTCTGCATCTGCCTCTAATGACTACCAAAATACAAAGGCAGCGAGGTGCTGACACTTCTCTTCCCACCCTTTCCTTTGAAGAGCTGTGAGGAAGATTGATAAACTATGCTTGCGAATTGAGGGTCCAGGACTGAAAAGAAAAATGCAAGATAGGCCATTTTATTTTTTCCTTCAAGAGGAGAGAACAGTCTCCACTGAAGCAGGGAAATAGAAAATGAACCTCCAGGGCAGTCATGCTGAATCTCTGACTGAACCGTACTCATGTGCTTCTGTTTAATCACCATCCATTTCCTCTTCAACTGAACAATAAATATGTAGTAGCTTTTTTTCATAAACATTTCAGCCAGAACTTGTCCTAACAAAACAGTGTGTAAGTCTCAAAATGAAGAGATTTCAAGGCACCTGTGCAAATTTATAATCCAGTAATTAATAATCATGCACCTTTTTATCTTATAAACTCTAAGGAGTAATTTCCCCATATGAGTGTAGTGCACATCATAAATCCACTCTAAATGATTTTTAAATTTGTCCTTTCCAATTCCTGTTTGAATTGACATTTCGTTCTGGCAGAAGTGGCCTCCTCGGATGCCTTCTCCTCTGCAATTAGCTGAGATTAAGCAGTTGGAGAACTAGCACAGCAAAGATCAGAAATGCTCTCAGTCACTGATGCTTTGATCATACCAAACAGAAGAACAACAGCAGGCTGTAGTTTGTGGCTTGAAGGTGCATAAATAAATATATCTGTGAGACATTTTTAAAGTGATCTGTAGCAGATTGTGCCAGGAAATGGACTGCATATTTTAGTTCTGGCAAGCATCTTATGTGCTAGACTATCTACAGTTTCAGTGAAAAATACAGAGAGCCTCATCTATTCCTTTGTTCAATATTTATATCTTCACATGCTACTTAAAAATATGTTAAAAAGAGCTAAATACATTCCAAATGCAGATCAGAATTTAATCATCAGCAATCTGAAACTATTCAGGGCTTTGGGTTATTATTATTTTGAATACATGCTGCAGATTCTGTTTTTGGAATGTGCACTCTGGCTATCCCAGCAATATGAGTAGCTTAAGATATGCGGTATTGCACAGGGTTTTAGCCACATCCTAGCCATTGAATTTAATAGTAGTTGAGCAGCTAAAACCCCTTATCAGTGCTGTGGAAGTGTTTCCCAGGGTGAGCGTAGACTGCCCACAGCTGTCTGAATCCTATCAGCTAATTCTGCCTGCTTGGCTGCATCCTGGGCAGAGCTTGCGTTAACAGGGAGCAAAGTCTGATACATGGAGTGAGTTAAAATGAGCATCTGGAAACTGAGATGGTGCGAGCTCTAACACACTTCCTAAGTGCTTTGGAAAACTTCGTTATGCAGTTTTTGGCCCTTCCAGGCCAAGACTGAGAAGCTAAAAGAACAAGCAGGCTCAGGGTATTTTGGCTTGTCCAACTTCAGTCCTGAGGAAAACTGGGAATGCCAAACATGAAAAGAAAAAATAAATAACCAAAAATCCTAAACTCTCCCCCTCTCCCCCCCCAAAAAGTCCCTCTCTCTCTAATTGTTGCCTCAGCTTTAATTTCCCTAAATGCTAAAGAGTTGTTAGCAGGGCTGGTGTTTCTTTCTTCCTTGAAGTGGATCTCTCCTCCTTATCTCTGTCTGCACATTGTGTGATGCATTGCCCCGTACTAGGTAATGTTTCAAAGCAACGTAAACGAGGGGCCATTCATCTTGTCACACAGTCAGTAAAATTCTCTAGTAGTTACATGTTCCATTTCACCCAATCCTGCAAGTGTGCAGCCTTCCAAATGTAAGAGCAGCAACGTGTTGAAGTCCTTGAAAATGAGTGATGAAGAAGACCAATGAGTGTACAGGGCAGGAGCACACAGGGGGCTCACAAAGTGAGGGAGTGTAGAGAAAAGAAGGGCTATAGGGAGAGAAAGGCCAAGCAAGGCAGAATATTCTTTTTAAAAATGGTGGGAATATTAAAAATTCATTTTGTCCTGGGGGACTTCTGCAGGTAGACTCCTTTGGTAGATATGTATTAACAGGGTAGCACCTAGCTTTCATAAATAGTTTTGAGCAGTTGTTTTGAAAGAATTTGCGGAAGTAGGAAACATAATTTGCTTCATTATACCTGTGGGAAAGCTTAGGTAAAGAGAACTGATTTGCTTAAAGTAAAACTTGCTGTCAGCTGAAGCAGCAATGGTCTCTTGAGTCCCTCTTTAGTGCTTCACTCCACAGGTCTAGCTCTGCCACACCACCACTTTTCTGTGTGTACAAGCTAATACAAAATCTTTTCCCTATCCAGTTCTCCCCACTGCACAGCCAGATGTGATGGCCTAGCAGAATGATCACTTTTTCCATTCCTTGTCCAAATTTCTTGTCACCTTCCTCACCATACCATAGTTTAACATTAAAAGAACGCTGTTCACTGCTGTTGGACCAGTTTCCCCCAGTATCCCAAAAAAGGTATTGACCAGTTCCTGGATAAATAATCACATCCATAGAGTATCCACTGAGCTGCAGGAAGCATCTCAAACCAGAGTGTTGGATGTAGGATCAGCTAACAGGGCCTGAAGAGCAGTTTCACTCCATTGTTGGCACAAGTCAACAATTTCAGGGCAGACGGATTCAAGACATTTCTGAAAGCTTGGAATTTTTTCCTTATTTGTTTTCTTATTTGCTTGTTTGGCTTTCCCAGTTTCCTTAAGGACTGAATAGTGGACTGCTATCCCCCAGACATCATTCCTGGAGTAGCTCTGCAAACCCCAAATCATTTCCAAACCTTCCTAGCACAGTGGAGCCTGTTCCTGAGTGAGAGTCCACTTTATCAACGGCCAGTCGACCCAATCAATATCTGGTCCATCCCAACGCTGACACACACCCCCATCCTGAATTCATCCTGAGGGGTTAAATACCAGGTAGGAAATGAAGAGGAAAACATTGGTGGAGACTCAGCCGGTGCGTCTGCTGGCAGGTCACAGCTGACATTGCTGTTCTACATGTGTTTGCTGCTCTTGCTAATCCCAGGGCTCCAGAGCGATTTATTTTTCCATTCCCTTTTTGTAAACAATCCATTGGCAGCAGCCAAAGTCAATCAATTGCTTCAACCAGAGCTAGAAGCACAGAAAACAGTTATATAAAGCAGAGACAGTGACAAATGACAGGAGGGGGGCAGCGGGCAGCCGGGGAAGGTGCGCAGAGCCAGCTGCTCGCTGCCGGCGGCTCCATCATCTCCTTGACTTGTGACACCGTGGTGTTCCTCTGCGTGAGGAACACGGGCCAGGCCGCCCCAGGGCCTGCTGGGGGTGGAGAGGTGTCACCTTCAAAAGCAGAAACCTTCTGGTCCAGCTGAGAGGCAGGTCATGCTAAAAATACGCTGGAATGCTGGAAATACAGCAAAGAGCCTCTATGGAGGCAGCATGGCTTTTCCTTGAAAGCAAAGACCATGTGTACCATCTCCCACTCTTTTATGTTAAAGATACCTGTATCCAGGTACAATATAGATATAGTGACAGTGATTTCAGTAATGAACTTCAGATTTTAGCTTTTTCAACTAAAATGGAGGCAAAACACTTCCCAAATGTCACTATCTTCTGCGGTTACTACATGTCTCCAGCCTCAGACCAGTCCTGATGCACAGGACAAGTTCCTTGACATGCCCCAAAGACAGATGCATTTCTGTGAAGAACATAAGATCCCTAAAGTGACTGATAGCAATGCACAGAAGGTATCAGTATGACACGAGAGTAGTGTGTCTCCGCAGGTCCTACAGAAGGGATTTAAGCAAACAGTGAAAAATTTCCAAGTTTAAATTTGCTTTAGACACTAAGTTTAGTATTTCAGCTTTTGAGAACTTTCAGTGAAATTTCTTGAGATGATAACAAGCCATGACTTGAGTTTTGTAATCATCCAGAAGCTGCCACTGAATATCACATCAGAATATTGGTCTGGAGTGGGTCAAACATGTGAGTCTTCACCCTTTGATCTTGCTCACTGAACCAGCATTTTCTACAGATTTCTCTGACTCAGCTACAAGCACAGAAAAAAAAAAAAAAGCAATGAGATTTTCTTTTAAAAACAGTGCTTTCCAAATACAGAAGGAAATGGGAACATGAGTTCAAAATATGCTATGCCTAAATTCTGAATTTATGTGAAAATGAAATTCTACTAGGGAGCACATATTTTTTTTTCCATTTTTGCTGCTGGCTTGGGCTGCAATCTCATCCAATTTTCCATTCAACTTAATGAACATCCATAAGTGGTTCTGCAAATGCAAGTGTTAGCACCAACACTTTTCTTTCAAAAGGCATCAAAAAACATTTAATTATTGCCTATTCATCCCGCTCCTCTGTTTATTTTGTCCAGTGAACAGCAGCAAGCACATAGTAAGAAAATACCGTGGGCACCTTCGAACAAAGATTGAGTCTGGAGAAGGAACCATTCCCGTGCGGTGCCACAACGCGGTCCAGACGTGGGATGGCGTCTTGCTGGGAGAGCAGCTCATCACCATGTCCTGCACAGACAAACTCGCCAGGTAAAGTAGCACCCAAAACACGTTTTACAAAAATGTTTGCCACGTGGGAATGAGTTTGATATCACTGTGTGGCTACTAGCAGAAAATAACTAGCAGGCACTTTAAAGGCTGCCAAAACAAGGACCTTCTTTGTATGCAAATGCAGAGCGTAGAAATAGAATGGAATGTAAATAGAACATTTTCCCAAATTCTCCATGGATCGTTAGTTACTCTTTTAAGTGTGACAAAAATATAAGCCCACTTTGAAGCACTTTTGCCAATAGGATTTCAGGACACAGCTAAAATACATCCACTCTGCTCTTAGTGGGTCATTTACCTCAAAAGCTGCAAACCAATCATCACATCATCAGGCCGATGGACCTACCTCATTTGCACCCCATTGGATAAAGTGCCCTAAATGCCATTAAGAATCTTTCTACTATTTTGAATGTCACTGCAGAGCTCGGATGTCACAGGCATCTCTCTCACAGGCACATGCCTTACTGCTCTATTCTGTAAATATATATTTTTTGTAGAATAATTGATATTTAATAAATATTTCATAATGATTCCATGGTGGCACATAAAGTGTCAACACATTTCCCATTCTCAGTTTAGGCTGTTAACTTGTAGCAAATGGTAGATATCACAGACTGAAAACAAAGTCTGTGTGTGCTTATTACTATTAATATATATTTATATATTCTTGCATACTTATGTGCATATATATATAATGCATACTTTTATATATATAATGTGTATAAGCTATAGATGCAGTTTTACATATAAAATACATTACTTTATAAAAATGTAAATATTATGATGAAATTATCTGCTGTAATAACATGCCTAAGAATTCAGTTAAATTACATCAACAGAAAATTTGGCTCAATATGGTAAAGGCTATACAAAATATTATTTTAAGGATTTGACCTGCTGAAGTTAAAGTGGGTCTATAGGCTTAGCAAAGGTTGGAATTTTCACAGAAAAATATCTGATTCCACCAACAAATGAGGGCACGGACAGACACAAATGACAGAACACAAAATTTGCACTCTGCTGAGTAGAGCAGTTTGGTTTGTTTCTATGGAGGATAAAGGGCCTCTTCTGCTATAGTATTTTCAATTATTCATAAAGTGACAACAGAAAACCTGAACTGTTTTCAGTGGAGCTCCTACACTGTTTTCAGATGCAGATGGGTTTTCTAACTTGAGACACATATGACTCAAAAAGAAACCTAAACAAATTTATGATTAAGAATTGAAGTATTGCACTCTCTTTTTGAATGCCAGTAGCCATATATGACAATATTTTTCCAAGATAATAGAATTATTACAGCTCTCATCTTTGATATGCATTAATTATTGAAATATTTGTTATTTGTACAGTTATTCACATGGTCACAGGATTTCCTAGACCAAAAGAAAAAAATCACTAGACCAAAAAAGTCAGCAATCATTGCTACCTGTTTTGAAGAGCAAAAGTTAGAGGGCCAGGTACAGGCCTGAGGCTGATGAAACGGGGGAAAACGCAATGTTTGTGGAAATGGTGGTGGTGGTGTAACTACCATTAGTAGTATAACTAGTTACTGCTTACACTAGTAACCAGTACCAGCACCAGTACACTGGTTACTGGTGGTGTAACTAGAACTGCACATGTGTCAGCATTTGGGACATTTGTCCATGGCACCACACTGAGGTAAGTGTCAAGGCCATTTGCAGAGAAGATGGCCATGCAGGGTATAAAGGCTCTGGTGGAGAATCTGATCACATTTCTGTGGCAAGAGCAGCACAAGCGTCTGGCAAAATCCGGATACCTTCAGAATTAGGATTTTCTTATTTAACAAAGCAGGCCAATGTCCCCAGATCTAGCTGTATTTTCCTGTTGCATCTCCTTGATAAAGACCTAACCCAGCATATCTCCAGAAGACTTTCCAGATGAGGATGGGTCAAAGGGGATCTCTGTGCCATGCTCAGTTTCCAAGAATGATTTGCATCTTGGGCATTTTTGAGTAGAGTTAAATGTTATTGGGCATTTCTGAGTAAAGCTAAATGTTCTGGGACAGGAGAAAATAGTAGATGAACCACTAAATTATCAGCTGAAGAGAGAAGACTGAAGAAGGGGAAGGCTGAAGGTAGAAAATGACCACAGAAGAGGTTATAGTTTTGATGTAAACATCTCTGGTAAACAGAATTGATAGAAACCAGACAAGAGGGACTCAAAGAGGTATTTCTGAGGAGAAGAATTAAGAGTTAATAGAGAGCATTGGGATAACTGTGAAAATCTCTTTACATGTGAGAGACAAAAGAAAAATAAATGGACTAAAGTAGCCACCACAGTGGTATGTGACACAGGGAAAGTTCTGGAAGCTTTTAGAGCAAATGCCCAAGGCCTTCTAGCAGAGATACCAACCCCACTGCACTTGTAGTTCACAACTGCCCCTTCCTTGTACCTGCCCAGTCACATTATGAGACATGAATGTGCTATTTTATTCCCACCAAGCTTCTAACTACACATATTTGTGTTATAACCTCGCTTGGTTTCACAAGTTCTAGTTCAAAAATCTGTGACCTAGGAAAAACATAAATATCACAGGAAAGGTCTGCAAAAAGATTTTCCCTCCCAGGTCAAGCCACTAGTGACTATGTTGGCAATGATTTTTGGCTGCTAGGATATTTTTTGTAGAGATTAGCAGAGTGGAGAGAAGAGGCTGGGATATGATGGCTTCAAGAAGATTGATACCAAATTTTAGTTTACCATATTAAATATGACCTATGAAAAATTTGTGCTCTATCAAAAAGGGAAGAAGTTTAAAGTTTCTTCACCTCAACCTTTTTTCACCCCTCGTGGCTCTGTTTTATCCCTTTTTCATCTATGAACATAGAAAGTAAGGATGAGAAAGGACTTCAGTCAAGGAGACTGCCCTCTCCCCACCTCCAGCAGAGTTCAGTCAATGGCTCTTGCACTGTACTTCAGAGCTCCAAATATGTTCTCTAACACATTGGCAGTTCACCCTTCACATATGTGTAGAGCACAAGAATCTGTTTTTACATCATCTAGACTTGTCTTGCAATGAAAACAAAAAATCCAAATCTGAATTCGTATTTGGATAACTTAATAAAATCTCACTTGGATGCCTTGGATTTTATTGCTTGTAAAAGCCCCTCAGGAGCACAGGGCTATTAGATATTTTTTCCTCATGAGAACCTAACAAGTAGCTGCTAAAATATGTATCCTTTTGCATTATTTGCAAAAGCTGTTATTATCAGAATATCAAAAATCCAAGAATGGAGTTTCTCAGAAGACCAAATAATTTTCTATAAATCATATATCTAACAATTTATATTCTTTCCTGCTCATAGGATAGCCACCAGCAAAGAGTGGTTTAATCAGATTTATTTGTTATTCAAAGGCATTTAGCAATTTTTATTACTATCGCCAGAAGTTCGCTATGAGAATTTGATGCTCAGTATGTGTTATTTGGGCTCTGTTACTTTGTGGAGATTGGAGGATAAACAGCCTGGTATCATACCTATTCCCTTACTGAATTAAAGCAAACACTTCTGGCATGAATACTCATGTTATTTGGCTCAGACAGGGAATCTCTAGGTGAAATTCTGCAATTTTATTATAAAGGAGGTCACACTAGATCTTGGTACTTCCTTCTGGCTTTAAAAATCTATGCATTTATATGTGCAAATTTAAAGTTTGGGCTTTGTGAAGCCCCAAATAACCTGCTGTAGGAGAGTGTTAGCTTTCACACAACTTCTGTAAGACTCACAGTGTAGCTGAAGTGAGTTCAGTCTTTCAGTGCTGCAGATTTTAGATTAAGCCACATGCTTCAGACATGATGTTCATTGATTACATTAAAACCTAAGACTGACTTATGCTTTCCTCTGTATTGCCTTAACATTGTATGCATGTGGGCAAAAATCATCAACAGCATAAACAAAATAATAACAAATAATAACAGAATTCTTCTTCTGCACAGAGAAATTGCAGAAATCAGTTCTCATGGTATCAGCCAGCCCATAATAGCAGGGTCTTTCCACCTGAACAATTGCACATAAAATTTTGATGAAAGCCACTGCTTGTTGTTTTGCAGATATGTGAAATAGTGCTAGGAGCACATGAGGAGCTGCTAGGATTTCCATGGTATGGTGCTCTCATGACATAAACCAACATTCCCAGGTCACACATGGCTGTGGCACCTCCACTGCCTCTCCCTGCAAATTGTTTTGAGTATCTTGATCCAAGCATTTTGTGACAAGGTTAATTTTTTTTAAAAAAGTTCTTATGTAGGTGTCTCATTGGACACCAAGTTCTACAATATACTGCTCTTCCTTGATACATCAACACAAGGGGATTGGGGGCTTACATTATGACAGAGCACATTTGTGCTGTCTGGATAGCCATCAAATAGATTTCTTTGGAAGAAATGCCAGCTTTCTGTGCATCAGACTTTCATCTACCCAAGCTAAAGTGACATATTTGTAAATGCATGAGCTTTATTCCCTTGTCCTCTTCCAGACACATGCATTTGCAGCTGCCCTCACAGAGTGCAGGCTTGAGGAATGCTCTTACCCGGGATTTGGGAAGAACAGCCCTCACAAATACTCCCTTTGTTGAGCAAATACCAGTCAGAATTCAGTGTGTGTTTTATTCACTCTTGCCTTAAATTTGTTTTCTTCCTGCAGCTTCTCAAAAGGTCACCTTTAAAAGATTGTGTACTTTTTTGCCACCGGGTTAATGGTCATCCATTTTCATGTACTCCACAAAAACAGTGCCATTAAGCCCAGGGGCTGAGTAAGACTTAGAACGTCTAAATTATACCTCACCTGTAAAATGGCAGAAACGGGAAGAAAGGACCTCCAAGCTGCACATTACAGCACAGGCAGTCTATTCTTGTCCCATGGCTAAGGTCTGTGGGTTTGGGCCCATAAGCTGTAAAGTAGGAATGAATCTGTCTCATGACTACACTCAGAATGTTGCAAGATAACGTGGTGCTAAAGCACGGTGTCAAGATTTAGCAGTAGGAATCTGAGATAGCACTTTGTCTGATCATCTAGGCATGTTAAGCTATATTTAAACATAGCATATAAAAATGAAAGACTTAAAGTCTGTGTTAGACATTGTCTTTCTCAGATCTATTTTGTGTTAGCCTGTTGACTAGGCCATTGCTAAAAGGAGCCAGAGCCCTACAAGGTAACTCTTCAGAAAAGCTACTTCAAAGGCCGCATATTAATGTAAATGAAAATCAATTAACACAGCCAGATCTTCAATTAGGAATGATTTGTGCACATGATTTGTAATTCCCTCTCTTAACCCTTTTCTGTGTGACTGAGATTTCATTTTCAATCCCTCACCACAAGGTATATTCCAGAAAACATACATAAGCCACCTACTGCTAAAATACAGATCAGAAACTAATGCACTAGTTCCAGTTTCCAAACCAATAATAGCTAAATAGTCATATAAATAGGAGCACCCCAGGTGCTCTGCTGAGCATGGACCACCATGAATAACAATTTATATTGTGTGAAGCCCAGAAGGAATTACTGGTAATAGAATCTGGGCTGCAGTATGTTAAGGACATGCTAAGCAATAAGCCATAAAGCTGTTAGTAATGACAAAAGGTGCATCTTTTATAAAAAGCCTGTACAAAATCAGCTTTGAAATTTATTAATGGACGAGGTTTCCCAAGGTCTGTAAGAGACACTTCAGTCCCACCAAGCACTGAAATGAGCAGCTCTTTACACCAGTTTGCCCCAGAGCCCCTTTCTCAATGTACTCCATATTTTTGCTGCCTGCATTTTGGTTGGATATGGGGGGAATTCACGAGGTGATGCAGCAGTCATGGCCAGTGACAGGGGAGGTTACGGTGCCCAAGGACGAGGGTGCTCAGGAGCACCCGCCATCCCAGCCATGGAGAACAGCATCTCACTAAAAAAAGGCTGCCTGCTCCTGAAGCCTTCCCATCCCTCGCTGGCATTTCAGTGATTGACAAACAGGCAAAAATATATTTATCTAAGGATTATCTATATTGAAAACCGGACGCAGGATTTTGTCTTTGTAAACAGTGCAGTAATATCTGGTGTTTGAACAAAATGAAAGGTAGTCTTTCCTTTCATCCAAAGCACCAAAAGCTCTTGTATTTACGAAAGCAGGGGAGACATTTGGTTTTATTGATACTGCTGGCGGAAAATGATTTGGATTTTTTTTTAAAAAAGGTCTGTGACTAAGGGAGCAGTGGGTTGATTTTCTCTTTATTGGAAGAGTTATTAAGAAGTACGTGGCATAGAAGGGTGACTTGCCCTTGAAAACAGCCCTTAAAATCTGGCACAATTAGGAAAAATCCAGAAAGATTCAGCATATTTCTTTATAGTGAGTAAAGTCACATTGATATATTCAGGGCCCAAAATCTAACACTGCATTTGCTCTGAATAATAATTGTATTTTGAAAAGCTACATTTGATGAGAGCACTTTTTTATAGATGGGAACACAGCTACTTCTATGCACCTAAATTAAGCAGCTCCTTCAGAAATGAACACCCTTATTGATAGTTTTGCTGTTGCTACAAGTGTTATCATTCCCTATCATCCACCTATAAATAATCCCCTAGGTGCTTAATTATCGGAGGGCTGAGCTGGTGGTTACAGCCAAGTGCCTTATCCATGTGTGCACGTCAAGGGATGCAAGGTAGACAGGATAAAACACTTTCTCCCAAATATTTGTCAAATAAATCTATTGTTTATGTAAAATAAGGAAGTGGCAGCCCTCCACAGTAGGGTCTGTTCATCCACGGAGCAGAAGGAGACTAAGTACAATGATGGGAACTTCCCTTGTCGATGATTTCCAATAATCAAACTCCATTGACAACTGAATCCCTTTCTATGCTCGGAAGAACAAGCTCAGAATTAGGCGGAGAAATATCGTTAAAGGAGAAACAGGTTTCTTGCAAAGAATTTAAATAAAATAAGCATCAATACTTCATAATATATGATGTGAATGCAGTCTTCTATTTTTGTAAATAAAGCTCAGATGATTTCTTATTTGGGCATATTGCTTAAATTTATTTACTGCTGAACATATGTTGTTTTTTTGTTTATCTGATTTTTTTTTATTCTCTTTCAATCAAATATACATTTTTTTTAAGGAAGTGTCAAATGTTGAAAACAACACTGAGATCTTGCAAGTTTCCATCTGTACAAAGACATCACTGTCTAATTTTTTTACTCAGCTTAGAAGCTCATTTGAAGCCTAGTGCTCTTTGCTGAACTCATCTCTATTTCTTAGCTTGGATTATTAATTTTGCATCCTGATAAGATATTTATGCAAAGAGGCAGCTAGTTCTTTCCTTTAAAAGTGGTATTACTTGCAGGAATGACCACACTTTTTTCCTCAAATGAAGTTATGCAAATCTGATCGACTAAAGTAAATGTTTCATAAAACCAATGACTGTTTAAATTGTGGGACTAAATTGTTTGTATATAAATATTACCTTTTATATTCCATTTGAGTTTTATGTAGATGAACACATTACTTTAATGATCTGCATTTACAGAGGGAGACAGGGAGAGTCTGACTCTGAAATCCTCAGCAGCCAGATGGCTGCCTTTTCTTGCATGAGATTAAAAGATGTTTCTCATTCACAGCCCTGCTTCGGAGGCAAATTAATATAGCCAGCTAAATTGCTTGTGTTTTTGGAATAAAATTTAAAGAGAACTTTTTAAAGCAATTGGTGTCACAGGTTCCTAGAGCAGATTGCTCTCCAGGTACAGCATGCTGGTTTTAAACATTCAGTAATTAATGGAAAGTATTCCGTGTTAATTGACTGCTCCAGGAAAGGGAAATATAATGACTCCTTATTAATCATGAAAAGAGACATACAGCACGGAGGCACTGCAATAATTGCACTAACGGTTGAGAAATGTTAATTAATGAAGAGAACAATGATGTAAGAAATTAGCTACATAATGTTTGCTGCTGTTGAAAGCAGTGCTTTAAACACATTATTTAGCATGGCAGCCATTGGATGGTGCCTTAAAGAGCAGACACCTCTTGCCCTTTCCTTCAGTCAGCTACAGAGACCCAAATACTGCCAGGGCTTTGGTTTTTTAATGAGCCAAAATATACTCTGTGAAATTACATTTTTCCAAGGAGTTTTCAGCTTGTGCTTCTGGACTCAAAACTGTTCAAACTGATTGACAGTGTTCAACCTATATAAAAATATTATTCAAATGTAAGAAAGTATGTGACCATTTGTTTGATGGAGAACAATTTCTGGTGAGATCATCTGAACTGGATGGGTTTGCTAGAGAAGACTACTTAGAACCAGCCATCAGTTACATTTATTGCCTATATTTATCTAAAAATCCATAGGACATTAAAATGCAGAACGTTCTGGCAATTAATCCAATAGCAGTAGTAAACAACTCATAATCATTAATGGTTTGAGGGCCCGAAGGTTTTCACCATCTCTCTGTAGAACCTTTGCGACAGCAACAAGGTGAGACAAATTCATCAGTCTGAACAACTTCAAGTGCGTCAAATTATTTGTTAGAAATAAATTGCCTAAAAGTCTAGCTATTTTCTCTTTCTCTCTCTCTCTTCAGGAATAGGATTTGATTCTTATGGTATGATTGCTATTAATATAGGGTATGGTATAACCTTTGATTCATATTTGTATGGTAGTTTTTGCAGGCAAGTGTGAGCCTGGGAATTTCTGCAATTATTCACAATTTTGCAGCAGTGTTACTGGTCACCTAAGTCACATGGCGCATTTTGCATTTATGACTAGAGGACTGGAGAGTATCACAAAAAGTAAAGGGCGGAATAACAAAAGCCCTCACAGTGCAGGTGTCTGGAAAAAAATATATAATTCTGCTAAAAACTTCTGGTAAATGAACATTCATCATACCAAAATGCTTTTATAAAGAATAGCTCTCAACAGGAGGCCCCAGTTTGCAATAGCACAAGAGAGGAATAAGCCCCTTAAGTCAGTGGTGTCACAGTAATCTAATACCATAGCACAGTAATCAGGCCTACAGGTGTATAATAAAATAATCCGACAGTACAGTTCTTCATGCACCCCAGTGCTAACACAGCCGTTTGCTGCAATGGCCCAAACAAATCTGAAGCCCGAGGGAGTCTCGGTCGGGACTAATGAAGTGAATCCTGCTGCAAGCAGCTGATGCAGGAAGGGCACAGCCTCTTTTGTGGCCCTTCCTGCACCCATGTGTTTTAATGCTCCTGAATTTCTTTTCCAGATGGAATATCCTCGGGCTTCAAGGTGCTCTCCTCAGCTCCTTCATCGAGCCCACCTACTTGCACAGCATCATCGTGGGAAGTCTCTGTCACACCGGTCACCTTTCGAGGGTAATGAGCCATAGGATAGAAGACATTGGTCAGCTGCCAGCTTCATATAGGCGTAATCAGCTTCTTCTCAGTGGTAAGCACACACTTGTCTTAAAGAGAAAGGATCCTTTTCCCCATCACCAATCACACCCGTCCCCAACCACAGTTACATCCTTGGTACTTGTTTATATCAAGTTCAGTATCTACCTCTAAACTGCATGTTTCTATGTTTTATTCTCCATTAATAATAAAAACCTACCTACCCAAGAGATTGCAACCAATGTTGATACCAAATAGGGCGATTCCTTTGTTGCCAGTGAAGTTCAAGGGAACATTAGTGGGAAAAAATGGGAAGGACTCTCAGTTTGGAGAGCAGCAGCTGAAGCATCTAACTGAGGTGCAGCTCTGCTCTTGTGTTACCAGAGGGCCAAGGTTCAGGTCTCTGCCTGTCCCCAACACTTCCTTCTTCCTCCTCAGTTAGCACTGGGCTCTGTGTCACATACTCAGCCAACAGCTGGGGCAGTTTAAGAGATTAACATCTAGCAACAACCACCCTTATAGAGGTTGCCATCACTGCTGGAGGGATAGCGGAGTTGGATATCTTCGAACACCTCAGCTGCAGAGAAAAGACCCTTCCCAAAGGCTATCACTTAGCAAAGTGTTGTATAAGTGTAGAAGTCTGTTCCTATAATGCATTTATGCACATACTTAATTTTAAGTATGTAGTCAGCATCCCTTGAGTTGGTTGAAATCTAAAATGAATATGTATATGTAGGTGATTTCCTAAAAGGAGACGGAGTATTAAATGGGGAGTTTTAGTCACCTAGACATGTCTTTGAGAGAAATAGGCCATAAAACTCTATTACCACTGGAAAATTAAGGCCTTGAGAGGTTATAAATGTTGCCAGTGGTCAAATGATGATATACACTATGTGATATACACTAGAGATGTATATATGTGATATACACTAGAGATGACAAGTGAGTCAAAGTGTGCTGGTTTCCAAAACACAAGCTAATCATTAGTCCATGCCTTTTTATTTTCTGAAAAGTAAGAATTCATAGAATAAAGAAACTGATGGGTTTAAATTGAGTTCTTCTTTTAGATGCAATGAGCATAAAAAGCTGTGAATAAGTGAATATCATCTGACAAAAAAAAATAGCACTATAGTAAGATTTCTCAAAACAGAAGAAAAAAGTGTGAGACGAAGGAAAAAACAGGGAATTTTTTAATAAATTTTATGTTCTTCAGAAGAGTGCAACACTTACCCAAACCAGCCTGATACTGTTTGGCACCATACCACAATCTTTTTTTGTCTGTTCTCTGTTCGTAGAAAGAAAAGGGCCTCTTTTCTACCCAAAGAATCATAAACAGCTTCCGTGGATATGTGAAACAAGTGCAAATATGTTGCATTAATGTACACAAGATGTTAAGGAAAAAAAGGGTGAAAAAGGCTTATTTAATTCGCTAAATAAAGACCAGACCATTTCAGAAGACTTTCAAAGAAAAGATAAATGCCCTAAAGGCATAATGTAAAGCACTATCCAGCAGTCATGGTGGAGTGTCCTTCCCTTACTCCATCACTTTGTCCCAACAATATCTTGCCTTTTTTTTTTTTAGCTTACCTTTGCTTTTTTTTTCTCTTTCTGACCTTTATCAGACAATATTTCAACATGAAAAACTTGGGCACCAGATTCAGGTGTTCACATAGAAGCTTTCTGCTTTTAAGAATTAAGACTGATGGACAAGTATGCAAGTATGAGAAAAAAAGATTTTCTTCTCTTAGTGCTACCTTGTCCAAAGCAAAAAACTTGTCTGTTGTAATAAGAAGCATGAGGATGGTGGAGCGTTTCTCCTCTGGCACTCTGCTCCTCTTATGCTCAGCAAGCTCTTCTGTTTCTATCTTTTCAGGCTTGCTCCATAAGGCAGTCCTTTTCCCCTCCACTCACTTCTTCCCACTCAAGCCATTCAAAGACATCTGCCATATGCCTAGATTTTCTCATGCAAATCCTCTTTTTCTGCCAAAAAAAGTATTGTCCCACACAAAACATGAAGATTTTTCACGTGTGCTCAGAATTTCTAGAATTGCAGCTCGGTAGCTTCAAGTAGGCTGCCGGCACCAGGAATAGCAGAAATCTCCAGTGTGGGGTGTGTGTGTGTGTGTGAGTTTGGGCAATAATGCCCACCAAGTCCATCCCATCACTACCCATATGCACAGCTCCTTCACCAGTTGCTAGCAGTCATGGACAGAGCGGGTAGGCAAAAGAAAAGGGCCATTTGCTTACACCTGAGGTCCTGCCTTCTTAGCACACCGTGCAGAAGCTTTGTTGTCTGCTGAGACTGCTCCTGGCAGTCTGTGCAGCCTGAGCAGTCCCTGGGCAGGAGCAGGGGAAGGTTTCTGCCCCCCATGTTTCATTAGGTCAATAGCTTCATCATGGTACTGCAAGCACAGCGTGGTGCCACCACTCCTGCAGGAAGCAGCTCAGAAACTTCCAGATGCCATTCAGGCTACTCTTTCTGCTGCCATTTCTCTATCCCTGTCCCTCTCCCTGCCCCAGGTCTTTGGACCTTTCTTGCCTACTTCCTTACCAACTCCTACTTCCTTAATGCCCCAACAAGACAGCAGCCATCTGGCTGCATCCCAGAAAAATCGCAGAGTGTTCAAAGCCTTCGGATCCTTGCAGGGGTTGTGAGTGTTAGGAATCTTCAGCTCTGCACAGGATCAGACTCTTATTTGGCTCTCAGATTCTGATAGTTGCTTTTCTAGAGGAGTCACTGAGCCAATACAGTGCCAGGGATACAGGGATGAGAGGTGAGGATGCCTCAGTGGACTACATTACCATTCCTCTAGGTTCCCAAGTCAAGAGAGTACTGCTTTTTATCTACTTTGTGCTCTTTTTCTTTAGTTTTTTTACTTGTCCTTGTGACAAAATTAGTTTGGCCAAGGAAGATAGAGTGATAGTTTAGCCACTGGGGAAATTCTCAGGTTCTGTGTGGTTTAGCACATACAGTGCATGCATGTTTTACAAGGTGAATAAGTCAAAAGGCTTTTCTGAACAGCTTATCTATACTTTTAATTCTTGGGTGCAGCCATCCAAAGAGAAAAGGCAGTATAAAGCAAGTATATGGGGAAACTCTGCATCCCAAGCTCCTTCTCCTCTGTCTAACATGATGCACCCTGTCCCTCACACAACTCAGCCTCCTTCTCTACATCCCACATATTCATCATGAGGAGGATGAAGACACCCACAGCTGCCCAGGGGATTTGGGAAATGGCTAGCTCCACATTTCCCAAACATGGCTGTTACTTTGGCAGCATGTCTCTGCTTACCAGAGGCCTCTGGGTCTCCAGTGGAGTTCTTGATGGAGTCCTTCTCCCTGCTCAATAGCATATGACTACTTACCTCACCAGCATATATAAGATCAAAATCACAGACACTTCTATAGAGTCTCCATGGGATACAGGGGAACTCATCTGAACTGAAAGCACAGTAAGAGGCTTAATAAGAGATATAGCCATGGTGCGGGTACTGTTATGCTAGCACTGCACAGGATCCTTATGACTCATATGTGGCCCCAAGCAGATATCTATGTCCATGAGTTTTTGTCAGAGATACCAGAAGTTAGAAATTTATCAAAGGGCTCCTGGTATCACTTCAAATATCTGCTCGTCTCATAGCTGGCTTCTTCCTTGTCCGAGACTCTTGCTTGAAAAATTTGCTCATTGTTTGCTGCTCTGTTTGTTGGTTTTCTTCCAACAAGGAGAAACAGTGGGAGAAATTTGCCTCCCTCTGTCTACGTTGTTCCATCTCCCAAGGTGTTATTTGTGATATTCCCTCAGCTCACACATGAGGGAGCCAATCCTGCAGCCTCATCTAAAACTTTCACTGCTGAGGTTTGTGCTGATTTTCTCTTACCTGGAAAACTCTGCCAATACGTTCAGTGAATATTGAAATGGACACCTAGCAAGTCACACAGAATTTGTCAAAGCCCAAACCACAGCAGGCTCAACCAGGCAATCCCATCTTCCAGATTCCTCGCAGCGATTAAACAAGCAAGGAATATTAAATTGTAGGTGTCCTTCTGGTACAAGGATACCAATTATTTCTGTTACCTTGTCAATGAAGTGCAAACACTTAAACAGAGAGTTGCAGTGTAGGATGAGAGAGCCTTAGGTAACTCCTTGCCCCCACAGAAGAGTTGTCAGAGAGATTTTCCACTCACACCAGGCTCAGACAGATGGAAATCCATTCTTTCCCTGGGATTACTTTTGGGTGGCTTTTTCAGAAGAGAGAAAACCCTGTGGCATTTTTATTTCCTTTACTCTTAAGACCAAGGCTACTCTGAAGGGTATTCTAAAGAAGCATGAGGTTTTGCTAGGAGAAGGGGGAGAATGGGGACAGGATTTGGTTTATATCGCAGAATGCTCAAATTTATACCAGACTTTGCTTTTTGTTGTTGTTGTTTTTCACTTCCTACAGCCTCTTATTGTTTTATTGTTTTCTTTATGGTACTGTTTTCAAGCAGGATGTTTTACATAAAGAGAGAAAAGATGTTTTACATAAAGAGAAACCTTGAGTATCTGGGAGTTACTTTTCAAATAAAGTCAGAACAATCACCCTTCAGAAGAAAAATATTAAAAATGATTAAAAAGAACCTAAAGCCATAATAATCAGAGAATATATGCAGGCTTGCCACCCTATTTAATTGTCACATGCCTCTCAGCGTGTTATTTTAAGCTCCTGCCCTTGCATTCAGAAAATGATGTGAAAATACCTTCTACTTACGTAAATATGTATATTTGTATATGACTGGAGAAAGTTCAAGGGACTTGCGAACATCCACCATGTCCACCTCAGGCAGTGAGCCAGCCCATAGGAGCAGGGAAGGGGCTCATCATCACCCTAGGAAGGATTCCAGGGCTCCTGAATGGGAGCAGCTTCTCTCTTTTGCCCCTCTCCTGATGCTACTGTGATACCCCTGTGAGAAACAGGACTTCCCCTTTGGAAAAAGTCAGCAAAGAGTTTTTTTCTGTTTTCCAGAAAATTCTCTGTTCTAGTTCAACTCTCATTTCTCCCCCTTCCCCCTGCACCTCCTGAATGACGTGGGAAAGGAGAGGATGCTGTTTCCTGGTTCCCAGCACCAGTTACTATCAGTTAAACAGCATGCAGGACTTCTCTCCCTTGGTCAGCGCAGGCGATCATCCCAGGGGAGATGGCCCATGGGGACATGTCCTTGCCTTGCCCCGCTCACCCCTTTGCCCAGCCCCTGCACAAGAGCAGGTGCTGCTCACTGCCCAGGCACACTGCCCTGCCCTGCCCTGCAACCCTCTGTATGTACAGAGGTCCACGCAGCTCAATTCCCATTTCTTCTTTTCCCCCGTCACTGTACTTGCAGCATTTGTGTTGATTTGTTGACCTGTGGCATCTTTGCAAGGCAGGGATTATCAGAGTGTTTGCTGTGTTTTTTGGCACTCAGCCATTTAAGCTTTCCAGGGCTGTCTTGACAGAGATTGGGGCCTAGTGTCCAATATCAGATTCTGATCTATTTGCATCTTGTTCAGTATAGGCATATTTGAATAGTGCCAGAGAGTTATCTGATTTCCAGGCTTTCCATTTCTGTTCGGTTGCCTTGGAGAGCTCGAGTTTTAGATGCAGACTGATCTGTTATCTCGGAAAGTAAAAGAACCAAAAGAGGTGTTAATATGACACAAGTGTGTTTACAAACACTGAGTGAGGTTATGATTAAACCGCAGTTCTCTGCACACTTCAGCAAGTTCACTTGACCTGACTGAGCCCACTCCCCTGGTGCAGGCTTTGCCAAAACTAGGAAGCGGCTGTGTCATCTTGTGTTCTTTTTCCTGTTTAATGGCCACTTTTCAGTAAAATATGTGCAAGTTCTTTATTAGGTCTCAAAATATGTCTGCATGTTTTGTATTTTTTTATCCTTCATTTATACCATCCAAGATCAATCCACATTACAGTGAAGGCCCCAACGGTTAATACTAGATAAATATACACGGCCAGAGAAAGCTCACCTTGAGGAAACCATAGCAGAAGCACTTTGCTGCTTAGGTCCTTTTAAAGATAAGTTATCCCATTAAAGCCTTTCCAAAAGATTTCACTCAGCAACTGTAAAACTGCTGTCAATACCATGCCATACCATTTAATAGCTTTCTTTAAGCTAACAAAAGGCTTATCTGCCAAGCAGAAAAAGATCTATAGGAATAGCTGAATTATGCCACTGAAAGGTGGCAGAGAGGTAACATTTAACCAACGCTGACACCGCTATTTCCAGTGCACTGTGATGGTGCATCTGCCCAAAGGTATTCTATGTGCATGGAGACCTAGCGCATTTTCACTGCCTCTGAAAGTGGAAATTGTGGAAATTATGGAAACTACGGGTTGCCATCTCTCCTGACAGGGGTCAGTCACACCGAGGCTCGTCAGCCTGGAAAGTCTCCTGGCTTCAGCGTGAACTGGATTGCAGGGACCACCGACTTGGAGGTGATCAACGCCACGACGGGGACACGGAGCTGCGGGAGCCCCTCACGGCTCTGCAAGCACATGCTGTTCTCTCGCTGGGCCAAGCTCTACGGGAAGGTAGGCCTGGCACCATGACATACACTGCCTCCAGTCCCAAGGTGGGCCAGTCCTTGCTCAGGGACCGACCCTTTTTTAACATTTTCCTGGTGAAAATGCAAAGTCCAGAGGTTTCTTGCATTCTCTCTGGTGAAGACCAGGAGCTGGTGGAGGTTATGAGGCACCGCATGCCTGCAAAGAGAGTACAGAGAATGAGAAATGGGCATTCTGGCTGTTCTTGGCAGTTGGGGCCATTTTCAGACTGGCATTGAAATGCCAGGAGAGCAAAAATGCTCGTATAACCACAGTGAGGGATTTTTTCATGTGCCTCACCCCACGTATCACTTAGCTTGTGAGGCAAATGTCCAAATTATCAAATCTTCAGGGCCTGAGGGATGTCATTGAGGCACCTACCTGACTTCATTGCCTCCACATCACTTTCCTTGCCAGAGCGAGTCAACTAATGCACATGCTGTGGGTTGCCCCTTCCCCTCCTCTTCCCCACTCTCCCCACCATGCCGTATAATACTGATAAATCCATGACAGCAGAGCTGCTCCTCCCAAGGTAAACTTCCCGGCACTGAGTGCTTTTGACTTTCCTGACAGTCAACAGCAGTGCAATTTAGTGGCATTAAAACTACAAGCTGCAGTTAATTAAAACAGTCAACATCCCTTGATCGTCAGCCCTGCTGTCTCTAGGGATTATGGCTATCCACTCCCCTTATTTGAAATGACACCAAAATCAATATAATCTCACTTTTAATTTTATTCTTCCTGCAGATAAGAGAGAGTGGCAGAACAGATTGATGGCCAAAAACTACAAGGTGGAGGCTAGAGATGTAGGAAACGTAGGAAGAAACATGGTGTGGAGTAAAGAACAAGAAGTGAAGGGGGATGGACAAGAAAGAGGAGCAAGTGGGAGTTGGGACCAGTAGGTGGCAAGGGACAAGGTGAAAGCAGGGAACCTTCCTCCAACTCCCAAGCATGGAGCCAAGGAGATGGTTTGAAACCAAAATGAGTCTAACACAATAAGAATGGCTGTTTCCTGCATTCAAACTCTAAAAGCAAAAGACAGGGCAATGATATATTTTCAAATGTTGACTCAATGCTGTGATTTAAATGGAAGAGATTTGGCAACCTAGTAGACCTAGCAGCTGGCAAATGCTCTCAGGCATTTGGTCTCTCTCATTCTTCCCAATTCTGGAGTCACCATTTTCCCTCTCATCTGACCCACTGAGGAGGTGCTAGGGGAGAGAAGGACACAGACCACGAGGTCACTGGCCAGTCTCCACCACGTTTACCAGGAGCAGTAAGGAACACATAAAGTGCTCTCTAGCCTGCCTTCTTTCACTGCGTTAGTATTACTTTTCTCTAATGAGACCTGTCAAGAGTTGTCCCTCAGTGGGTGTAGGCAAGGAGGAGAGGAGGACAATAAGCAAATTTTTTATATAATACCAAAACACCAAGTGTCAATCATGACACCAGGAGACACTGCAAGATATTGGGGAAGAGACTCCATTCCCGGGGGCAACTGCAGGGCATCAGGCATAGGACATGTGGGCTGGTGTCCTGCTTGCACCTGGGCTGGCACTGTCTCCCTCCCTTTTTCGGTTAAGGCTAATGCATCCCTGACAAAAGCAAGTCCACGATGTCTGAGCAAATCCATGCCCAGACAGCTCCACGCAAACCGAACCATCTCATTTCAGGTTGCACGTCACCCGCTTCTCTGCAGCGTGCCATTCAGTGCCTTTCCTTTTACAGAAGAGGAAAATAGTGTTGTTTACTCACAAAGGCTGTGTTCAGAGGATGTCTTTTTTCCTATAGGGTGCTATTTCCCTGGCTTGTAAGTGTTGGACTTTCACCTGTCTGCTAGCTACGAGGCATTTTCCAGACTTTGATTTCTTTCATGTACTGTCAAAGAGTTGCTGCTGTGTTAAGGCTTTGGCAGGTCAAAGAAGGTCGTTTATTTAGTCCTTCTGCAAAACAAGCGGTGCTTCCCTGTGTCCGGGTGCTCTGGGCGGTTACCGGAGCAGACGTGTCACTTCGTGTCCCAAGGCAGCCCCTGGCAGGTGTTGCAGGTTTCCCTTTGGAGCATCCTTCTTTAGTGCACCAGCTGTGCTCCCCACAGCACCACAGCTCCCAGTAGTGGAGCTCTGCCCAACCCCATGCAGATTTCACAGCATGCCCAGTGATAACAGTTTAGGGAGGCAAATAGGGAGGTGACCCTCCTTCCTCTTGTCTCTCTGTTTTTACTGTGACAGCCAGAAACACTGAGCTGAATCCACTTGCCAGACTAAATTAACACATTTGTTTAAGATTCCCACAAAGGATTTTTTTTTTCCTAAAAAACACCTTAACTGAAAAGTGGATTTTTGCCTTTGTAAAGCACACGGTGATTTTGCCATTGACTCTTGCTGCTGCATATACCCACGCCAAGGCGAGGAGGCTCTTCACCCCCTTCTTTACATTCCTCCCACAATTTGCAGAACTGAAACACTGTCATAGGCATCCATGGCTTTGCTGTTTTCGTTGTTGTTGTTAAACCGAAAGCAAACACACAAAGCACAGTGATCATTTGCCTGTTGCTTATGAAATGTAGACAGGAAGATTATATGGCTCCTAAAGCCTCCTGTCTCTTTTGGCTTGTGGGTTGGTTTTTTTATTATTATTTTATTTTTTCCCCTTCCCTAATTTCTGTTCTGCAGCTGAGCACACGAGCACCAAGCCATGGAGACATGCCATCCGTGTACAGCGAGGCAAAGCTGGTGGCTCAGACGTACCAGTCTGTCAAGCAGCAGCTGTTTAAAGCATTTCAGAAAGCAGGTCTGGGCACCTGGGTGAAGAAACCCCCAGAGCAAGATCAGTTCCTACTAACTGCATAAATCATCTGACACCTTTGCTACATGACTGGATCAGATCAGCTGGCGAGAAGGCTAGGCAGCACACGTGAGCTGCGGGAACTGAAGCTGTCCAAGATGAAACAGCATCTTCCATGAGAATATTTTTAGTTCTGTATTAGAAATACATAAATATAAATGCATCTGATTAATGGACTGACTTGACTTTAGGAAACTGCTTTTTCATGACTCCTTCCCAGGAACGTACAAGCCCAAATTATAACTCCACCCCTGGCAAAGATTTTGCTGCTTTTTGCGATTGGTGTTGCAGTTAATGGAAGCAGCATCTTGATTTCGGATGCTGGCAGGCCACCTGTCTGTGTAAAAACTGTTTTCCCTCACACACTCAGTGCGAGATTCAACACTGAATAATGGAAAACAGTAAGCAAACATTGCAGTACCCCAGGCACATGGCATGACAGCAGGTCACAGAGCATCCATAATCATCCACAAAATGATATCTATCCTCTATGCAAAAATCACCGTCTTATCTGCCTAAATTAGTGAGGGAAAATCCGGATCTCAAAGATAGGCAGCATTTTCAAACTCCGCTTTCCACTTTTGGATCTGAGCATGATGCTGGGCATCAGGAGCCCCTTGGTTTTACAATGACCCAATTTGTAAGACAGCCCTTCGCCACCAGTCAAATCATGACTGCAGAGGCAAGTGTCCTTCAAAGGCAACTCATGTGCAAGTATGTGCAGTGATGTGCACCTCCACCCGGCATGGAGATGAAAGCTGGTGTGACCATACTCCCAACACTACCCCAAATCAGACAGGCTGGAGCTGGGACCCAGCACCTCAATTTTGAATGCTCACAAGCTCTATGGTTTTAGCTTAAGTTGATACCAATTCAGGATGCTCAGCTGATCTAAAATTTCAGTGGGTTGAGTAGCCACAAAGACATCCCAAAACAGAGGTCACATCTGATGCTCAACTCCTTTGTGCCTCAGTTTTCCATCTGTCTAATGGGGATAATACTTCTTATCTGCTTCACATCTAAGGAATGTGTCAGGAGTGTTCTGGTCATTAACAACCATGTAAGCCAGATCCTGTCACTCTTTACTGCAAGTTTTACCTCTGCATATTGCCCCAAGGACACAGCGACAACAGATGGCACCATGGTCTTGGTAAGGTTTTACTCAATATAAGAGTTCTTAGATTCTATCTCTGTATAAATGCTACATATGCTATTATTCATAGTCAACTGTAGTGTGAAAAGCAGGTGAGATTTTTCAGTTAAAAGAAGAGTAATGTCTATGGTTATCGATCTTCGTAACTACAACTTCGAACAAGCTCAGACTTTGTCAGAATGCAGAAAATACAGTCATGGGAGAACGAAGCTTTCACAGCCCAACTGCAGAACCAACCTTCTAACACTCTGTATATTTCTTTTGGGTTTTAGTTTTTTAAATGACAGGATTTGCGGGTATAGAACTACTCTTTTCTTTTTATTCCTGTGATTCCCTTTAAATATGTATATAACATACTGCTGCTGATTTGTGATAATTGTCCTGGTATTTTCTCAGAACTGTCGAGTTACTTTTCAAACAACACAAGGCTCATATTTTTCCATGTAATTTCCTTTACACGGGAAACTGTTCCTATCAATAAAGATGATGCTCTTTGTATAGGGTTTATCATGTTTGGAGAGCCATATACAGTAAATACATTGTTTATTGATGCCCACGATAGAATAGCTACAGTATTTTGATGAGATTTTATTTTTAGATTATAACTACAAGATGTATCTATAGTGTCTTGTATAAAAACAATTGTGATAAACTAGAATTTTTAAATTAGATAAAACAAAGCTCTCCCCTTCCAGAAACCTTTTCAACAAAATATACATTCCATATTAACTACCAAAAATATTTAAAAAAAACCTTAGAGTAGAAATAGTAAAAAAAAAAAAATACTGAAGTGTTTTTCTGAGTAACAGCTAGAGTATCTTCAGCACTTTCTGAAGCTTCCCGTTACCTTGACATGACCCCTTCCCTTAAATCCTGGTGTTACTCATGCATGGTGGGGGCCAAGCAGGTCCCCACAGGACTATGGTGGACACCCAGCCAAGAGCAGCAGGGATGTTGCATGAGGAACTGTGAAGCAGCATGCTAGAGGGGCATAGGAGGGCATGTGGCCACTGATCCTGTGTCCCAGGGGGAAAAAAGTGGGCCCCAAGAGAAAAGCCTGAGCAGAAAGTGGTCCAAGGTGATTCACCTCCTGCCCAACCCACCCTCGGGCCTTCTGTTAGGCCTGTAAGCCCCTGTGATGACCACCTTGTGGGAATGGAGGGCTGCAACACCCCAAGGAAGCAGAAGCCATGAAGTCTTCTGCCTTCCCTCCCTCAACTAGTCTTTATCCACCACTTGAGAGGCCTCCAGGCCCCTTCTTCCCTCTCTCTTCCAGGCTGACACAGCTCCAGCTCTACAAATATGTGTGGCTGCCCCAGCCAGAGATGCAACCCACGGGACAACAAAAGGAGCCGCTGGTTATTTCCAGGGATAAAAAGAAAGGTGTGGTGGGACTGAGTTATCCTGAATTATCCATACAAGAAATATGTAAATTCAACCTTGGATTCAACTGCCAGAATTAATCTATCAGCAGGGACTAAGTGGGGTCCCCGTTGCTAAGGGGCATCCAGTGATCCAGTTGAAGGCTCTGAAGTTGCACCTGCTTGCACTAGGGTTGAATTTGACCTTAGATGTCTTAGATGTCTACTTTCTCTCATTACAAGCAGCGATAGAGAGTGATGGGACTACGTCCCAGAAGCACATAGGAATAACACTCAGCATTTCCTGAAGCAAAGGAAAACTTACTCAATAGTAATTCATAAGTGAAGATTATGTACATAACACGCATGAGTGAATGGCAATACTGTACTAATGGATGTACATTTGTAATATTTGTAAAAAAAAGAAACAAAAAAGAGAACAAAAGAAAATAAATCTGAATTTACATATGTGAATTTGCTGCTAAGTTCTGTAAATTGCACTTCAGTGATATCTGATAAGTGAATGTTTCTGTTAAGTGAATAAAATACCAAGTAAAATTGTTCTTTTATTGTTGACCATTTTTCACTGTGGTTTATAAAGTAGTTTTTGTATGCTTTAAAATGTAAATATGTTTTTTTACACCCATTGCAATTCTCTAGACAATTCTCTCTATTCTCATTCAGTTTCTATTTGCTTCATTGTAGGAACCCTACACCTGCAGTGAGCAGTGAATGTGCCTTTCAGGATGGAAGAAGCTTTACAGAGGCATAGCCTTTTTCTGGGAGAGTGAACAGGGTCCCTACCTAACTCATTCTTTCCCAGTTACTCTCAAAGTCCTTTTTTAAAATAAATTAAATTTATCTTTGCAAGCACACACTTCAGGAGACTCACTACACGAAGCTGATTAAGAAAACTAAAGTGATTGACAGCAGGTAGGCAGGCAGTGCATCTACCTGAAGAAGACGTCTTCATCAGTAGGATGGCCTTGCCTCACTCTTGCTTTAAGTTCTCAGCCTTCAGCTACAGCCAACTGAAGTCATGCTGAGCTTGTCTGACACCACCCACACAACAGTTTAACATGGGTTAGTAAATAATCATGGCCTTTATCTTGAGGTAGTTTGCCCAAGCCAAGTCTTAATAAGGATCACTGGTGTTACCTCCTCCAAAACCTTTCAGAAGAGTTCAATGTCAAATAGCTGTATGTATAGTTATTTAACTAATTAACTAATAGTGAAAACTGTCTAGAAAGACAATTTTCCCATTTTTCTCTTTGTGACATATTTGGTTCCAGACTGGAATCAAACGTGATGGCTCACAAGGAGCCCAACCAGCTGTGTAGCCATCACAGCCCCTCTCTTGTTAGTATTGAAGAAGTTGGTGCAAGGCCTGCAAGTACCACCCCACAGGTTTCATTTCCCCAGAGTAAAGGGGCAGGAGCAGGGGCTGTACATAGTTTTTCATTTGTTTATTTGCTGTGTTTTCATCTAAGACTTTGCTACAGTTGTTTTCCCTTAGCTTGGATTTGCATCATTAAGTATCTAGGTGAGATAAGGAGGAGCAGGGAGAGTACAGTACTTGCGAGGTGATGTTTTCTGCACAGAAAAAGTCACTTTGAGCTGACCTCATTCCTATACCCAAGATGGATTTTTGAACTGGGAAAAAAAAATGATTAATATGAGTCTCAAACTATATTTGCATACCTACTTTGTATGGTTATGACTGGATGTAGGTAAAATAAAATCTGTATTTTATCCCTTCACCACAACCTTACACACAATGGTGACTTTCTACCAGTAAAAAAACTGATGTGGCATTTTCCTAAAAAGAAAGGAGGGAAGTGGCACCAGTAGAAAGCCTGTTTGTGCTTCTTCTCTTCATGCTCCAGATGATGAACTTACCATCATTATTGTTGTCAAAAAATGTAAACCCACAAAATCCTATTTTGGAAAAAGCCCTTGGAGCACAGGCTTCCTCTGTGGAGGTGCTTCAGACAGGGTATACAGGGTCCAGCACGAAGCTGAGTCAGAGCCGACACCAGTGTATCCAGGAACTGCAAAACCATAGGACCCAGATCACAGCATGTGCCATGAAATGCTAGTGAGAGTAGAGTGAACATGGTTCCCAGGCATATTCCTTCCTAGCCTGCCAGGAGACCTGTTCCTGGTGAACTGCATCAGTCTGGGAGCCTCAAATCTTTCCACACCTAGGTAGTTTTGCCATCTCTGTGTTCACAGTGGGCAGGCTCCAGTCCATTTTCCCTTCCAAAAGTAACTGCTACTGTCCATCCATGGCAGAAACACTGACACAATTTGGCTGCCAAAAAGCTACTACGAAGCAGTCCTTAGGGTAAATTATATGGATTGATTCTGCATTTAATCTCATTAAGTTTAAAGTCTAAATACCAGTACTGCACTTAAGAGTTTACAGGCACACACCCACCATCATCAAGCACAGTTACTTCTTTTCCAACTGTATATTGGAAAAACAACAGCATTAAACATGCACAAGCTAATATGTTGACTTATAGAAGGCTTCAGAGAAATGCCTGTATTTCAAATAAATAAGTCCTTCTGCCGCAGTTAAATTTTGATAGCTATGCTTCTATGTTGAAGAATGAAATAGCAACTTAATAGCTTTTTAAGCCTTTTGATTCATTACCTGTTGTGCCTACTTTGCAGCTCGTAGACCTGATTCCTGTAGTTGGCTTTAGCTCGATATGCTAGTTTAGCAGAAAATCTGGGTGAGAAAATCCGAGTCTCTTTAAAGGACAATGATAATCCACTGGGACCCAAAACGCAGTAAATTCACAAGATCTATAGGCACTGCACACATATACATATAGGTGCTTCTTAGGACTCCAGGGCCTCCTAAATAAATAATGTGGCCCTGAAGAAAGGAGATTAATAACCATTGCAGCAATGAAGCAGTTCTGCTCAAATGCTTCATTCAGTCTGGCTCTTTCCTAGTAATTAAATCCTCCATCGGAGAAGTTTATGTTCTATTTTATAAACTTATTTTGCAATATGGAATTACTTCCATTAGACCATTAAAAATCTTGTTCTGTCCCCAGGAGGAAGAGGCCTGTTCTTCTTTCATTCGTCCAGAACAGATACCTTTCCAGATGAGTTCACTGAGGAGCCCATGTCTCTGAAAGATCATGGTGAGCCACTGCTACCATGAAATGACCAGGCTAGGATGTTGTTTTGTGTCCAAATTGACCAAAACCATCTTTCTGAAAGGAAAAAAAAAAAAAAAAAAAAAGATATGAAGAATGGCACATATTGTCAGAACTCAGCAATCAGCACTAATAAAACTGGCTGCTGCCTTGGGGTCTCAAAGTCAGCACACATCTCCTTACACATATGGGAAATGCATTTTCCTCCTGCACGCAGAGAGTCTTTCTTAATGACTACGCACACTCACACACTTAGCTGTCCTGCTCCACGTATGGGGTCACTGCTGTGCTAGAGACAGGGTTGCACTTGTAAGGTGCCTTTTCCATTCTCTCACCCTGCTTTTAAGTCACCCCTCTAAGGTCTCAGTCACACCTTCCTCACCTGGGAGGAATGGGGACTCACAGAGCCCAAATCACCTCTCAAAACCAGCAGCAGGTTACCCCACTAGCAAATGACAGCAAAGTGCCCAAACTAGCCCCTCAAACTGAGTGTGCAGACTTAAAAATGATACGTGCTGCACTGTTTGAGCAACTCAGCATAGCCTTTGCTCCAACCATTCTATGGAGATGAGTTTTCTCCGAGAGAATACCAATTTTCTATATCTTTTTCATGCAAAGACCCTACAAGTCAAGAGGGAAGGCTGACAAAGGCATTATAGGCATCTCTTGTCCCACGCACAGGCATTAGCACAGACTGCATTTCACATACGTGCCCTAGAGATGTTTTTTCTGTGCTTCCCTTTCTACCCTGCATCATTAACTTGGCTACACCCAGTCCTGCCGTCCACAGCATGCTCCTTGCAAAAGATTGTTTTTTTCTTTTCATTTAACAAGTAATGCAAACATGTTTACTCACTGATCTGGTATTGAACTCATTTATCTCTTATATGTTTCTACTTCGATTGCTTTTCTGAAGAAAATTGTTCATACCCTGGTCTCAGCAGTGAAAAATAAACATTTCCAGAAGTACCAATGTGGCTTAGGTACCAACATAGACTCCTAAAAACCTGACCTGCTCACAGAGCACTGGGACTTGGGCTCCTAAACCCCACATTTCAGTGAGATGTAAGGCAATATACACAAAAGGGTTTGCTACAGTTCCTGTCATTGTCAGCAGCAAATCCCAGTGTGTTGGGTACTAACACCCTACTCAGCCTCTCACATTAAATATCCTCTAGAGCATTGACATCTTCTGGGCATGTCTTGTCTTGCCATACCGCTGTGTACCTTGGAGTTGATCCCCACTGCACTGTGACCAGTTTGGACTCCTGAAGTAGGCTTGCACGTCCTACCTGTGCTCCTCAAATCTGCTACAAAAGCATGTCCCACCAAGGCAGGAGAGCCTTTTTTTCTTGGAGTAATTCAACTTGTAAGCCAGTCATTCTGCTGTATAGTATAAAGAGGTAATGCAATCACCAAGGTAAAAAAAAGGTACTCTGAAAGAAAGGTAAGGAGAGGATGAGTCTCCTGTTTAAACTATTTCACAGAATACGGAGGAAGTTATATGTAGTTATTCTAATGTAAAAATATTGTATTTGAATATAAGACATGATAACATATTGGATTTTAGGCTACTTACCTGGGAAAGGAGAAAACCTGAGTTCCAATGTGTATTTTATGCTCTGAAGTAAGCAGATCGTCAAGTCAAGACATTGACCCAGCCGAGCTCAGGACGGAGGAACTTGTGGGCAACTAGATTGTAATACAAAAAAAAAAAAAAAATCCCAGAACAAAATGGCAAAACCCATCTTCATCATCACTGTTTCATTCACCGAGCAGTTAGATGTCTAGTTTGGATCTATTCTCTGAGCTTTCTAAGTAGAGCAAAAATGACTCAATGAGGTGACGCACCCCACTCTGCACCAAGTGTCAAAGAGACATGGGAGAAATTGCCCACTCAGGGTGTCAGCTGGAGTGGGAGGAGCGATGACTGTTTTTCAGGTGATTAATCCTGTAGAAGTGACTCCAAACCAAAGGGTCTGGAAAATCACAAGACCTTCTATTTTTCTATTTTAAAAATCAGGGACTACTCTTTGTCACAATAAGCTTCCTTTTGGGTATGGGTTAGTACCAGCACACTGTGAGAAGAGAATGTTAGAGGAATTTCTTATTTTTCACTACATATACTATATGCTATATATATGCATATGTATTGAGACAGATCAGT